ATTATTACCGTCACAAGTTGGCACCTTGGTGGAACAAGCTCGCTAGATGGTAGTCATCATCGACAAGACTCAAACATCTGGATGATACTATTTGCGTGTACGAATTTAATTAAACTTAAAGCAATAAATGAATTGATTCCGAAGAAAAATTTAAATAATGGTTTATAAAAAAAACTGTCAAAATGATAAGTATTACCAAATATTGTTTGGTGGTATAAGGGAAGTAATTCTTGCATACTACGGATATATCGTAATTAAAAGATTGTGTGTAAACTGGAATAGTAGTGCACTTTCTCGGTTTTTTTCTAATACAAGGTCCATCACAATAAACTATTATTATGATTACATACTTAATGGTCTTTTAGGAGATTAACCCTTTCACAAATTGTTTTTTTGTTTTTTTTTTAATATAAGGGAGACCAATCTTTAAAGATAAATGATAATTGTAAAACATGAGTTGTCCCTCTTTATAACAAAAAAATACAAGTCTATTTTATTTGTTTTTTTGTTTGTTTTTTTATTTCTTTACCTCCTTTCCTTGCCAACGTAAATTAATCAAAGTTACATATAATTCTCTATACAGTAAACAACTATACATAAACTCTACAAATAGTTCTGTAGAAACCCACATAAAATATCACAAGTACAGAATAAAGATGTCAGTGTATGTATAGATCATAAAACCTTATACTTAGCTTCAGTCAATGACTCAAGTGCTCAAGTGTTAATTTAACACAAACTTCAGCAGCATTTTTTTTGTCTTCATTTTGTTTTATTGGGTTTCACAACGGACAAACATTGTAAAGGTCACATGGCAACTTTTAGACATTATTGGTGGAGGAATACCACAAGTTCCCTGTTGTTCAATTTAGGCACAAAGGGGCACCTGAGAAGAAACACCGACTTTCAGGATAGCTTCCTTTCATGTAAGTTCTTGATGGGATTCATACCCACAATGTGAAGGGGAAGTGGTTTGAAGTAAACAACCTTTACCACTTGGCCAAGGACACTCTCAACATTTTAAAATGTTTCTGTCAATCTTACTGATTTTTCTTTAAAACAAACACTTGAATCTTTGAAACTGAATGTAAATGGTCATATATCTCCCATCAAATGTAATGCCATAAAATATATGATAGTTAAGTCTATAAAAAATCTAAATACTAGTGGCTGAACACCAAAAAGGCATAAAAATGAATATTTGAAAAAAATGATGTTAGTTTTTACAAAAAACTAATATCCCTTATGGAAGCCTGTCAGAAAAAGGTTGACTGTGGCTGGTAGAAAATAGTTGTCTGCGACAACGTCAACATGACCTTGACATTTAATAATCAACAAAAAGATTCCTATAAGACTCACATCTGTATGATAATACCTTCTCACGATATACGACTGAAATTCTGTCACAGATTTCGAGGTCACACAATGACCTTTGTCATATTTATTTATATAACACTAAAGGATAAAGGTCAAATTAATTACCATAACAATAAAAGTTGTGTGCTAAACTTAACAAGACATTTCATAATGTACAATAATTTTATAAATCATTTCAATATTTTTAAGCAAATATGTATAAGTTAATGGGTGTTAGCCAACATTGATAAAATATGTCCAGTGTGATACAGTCATGTCACAGATTGAATGTTATTAATGCAGACTTATCAAACACTAATCTACTTAGGTGTTGAAATCATGTTTTGAATCTGTACACTGCTAGAGTATGATAAATTTATTTAACAGGATAATATGAATCAAGTTGGTGATAATTAAATAAATTCAGAATTTCAAAAACTCAGGACTCTATTTGGACAAAATATAAAGTATATTTTCAACAACTAAGGTGGTTTAGTGATAGTTAGATCCAACATAGCTTGATAATTTACAGTTCTTATATCATTTTATCAAGATAAATTTTTAATCAGTGAGGACATTAGAATATATTCTAAATAAATGTGTAAATTCTCATTCTCTCACACTGACCAGTCTCTCAATGAATAAATCAAAGACTGAAATCAAAATTAAAGCACTTTGCAAAGAGAAAAGTGACTTCCTGCCAGTCTAAATGGTGGGCTTTTTTCTGGAAAGAAATAATAATGAACATTCAAATTTACACATTTTCAATCAAAGACAGTTCTAAGTCAAAAGGGTTAATTGCAACAGTGTCATAATTAAACATACATGTTCTTAAATCAAAATGGACTTGCAATATAGCTGTGAAGTCAAATTATTAAGGTTATGACAGGTGTTTTCGAACCGTTCAAATGTAACAATTACTTACAATTTCTACAAGTATAGAGCCACACCAGCCTGCAACAAGCATATTTTATACTATTGGCTTCAACAACCTCCCACTATATATTTCCTTGTTGTATTTTATGTCACACCGACACAGTAGAAGTTATAGGGCGACTTTCCAGCTTTTATTGGTGGAGGAAGACCCCAAGTGCCCCTCTGTGCATTATTTTGGGTATCAGAGTAGAACCACCTCTAATAATACAAAATGATAGTTTCTAAATCAAAGGAAGACAATGAATGTTAATAGGTTTAAGGAAAAGAGACTAGTTACAGCACTAATGTAATGACCCCTCATTCTGTACAAAAACATTCAATAACATATATACAATATTTAACAGAATATTTGCATAATATAATGTATCACAATGAGATATTTTGGTGTCTAGGTCAAAAATGACACCATGTAAATAACTTTAAAATCAACATACTAACTTCGTCTCAAAAGTTTGTTAAAAAAGATACTCAATTTTCGTCTGAATCCTTAAAATGGTATTTCAGCATTACAATAAACTGCTATAAAACTTTAAGCAATGGGAAACATAAGTCATTTATAGTACTTCTCTGCATAATGAACACACATTATATAGGGAGATTCCAAAACCTTTGAAAATTCAATTACACTCTTGCTTCAATGTTATTTATTTACATCACCTACAATTTAGTAAGTTTATTTGTATGACCTCTGGTCAGCTAAAGTACTCTTAGAATAAACCTACACAAACTTAATATGGTAAGTATCAATGAGCATTGCAATGCTACATCAAAGACTGTATTATTCAAAATTCACAGTACTTAAAGTTAACTGCTAAATACATGTACTCCCATTTCTTTTGTATTGTTGCTTTTTATGCTACCTATGCATAGATTTTGATAAAAATAGGAAATAAAATATAAACAACTATCATATATATGTATGAACAAGTGATTATGCAAAATGCATTACGATCCTCAGATGATAAAACCAAATATACCAAACAACATTAAGCATTTTTAAATACTCATAATTATTGCTGCTGTTTTTTACAGTTTTTCCATAGATTTATTCCGCGAAGAAGAACGCTGTCATAGCTGTCATTTATATATATTATGTACAAGTACATCAAAATAAACAAAATGCGCTGTTATTAAAAACTTTTCTAAAATGCAAATTATAAATATGACTATGAAAAGAAATAAGAAATTGATGAAAAGAAAATGAATAATACTTGATGTACATTGTTTAAGCTTTGCCTTTCTCTTTCCCCCACCATCCCAACAATAACGCTGTTCAACCAAAAAAATAACGTTCAGCCCAACAATAACGCTGTTCATGCGAATATTTTACTTTCTATTGTGATAAACATTTTTTTGTTTAAATATCTATTGAGAAAATATCTATCAATCAACTAGTACATTTGCATTATTTTTATAAATAATCCCAAACAATGAACAAAACAACTGGAGAGCCTAACTTGCTAGACTCAGCACTTGTTTCAAAACATAGTTTATTAATACACGTTTGTTGAATAATGGTACAAAATATCTAACCACATTTTATCCTTCACCTTACACTTTATATCATACTTCTTTAACAAAAACAATGAGGTTTGGTTAGGTTTGAAATGCTGTAATTTAAAAGATATAATTGCTGTTTTATTTCCTGAAATTCAAAAAATAACATTCATATAAAAAATAATTAACATTATACTAGCTCAACAATGACTTTACCTATGGAAAAAAAACACAAAAAAAGTACAGTTACAGTAGTCATTTCTTATAAAGTTTTTCTAACATTTAATCAAATGCATTTACCTAATTGAGAACATACATTTTCCTAGTATTGCAGTCATTTCAGTATATGTCTTGAGCCATATATTTGTCGGAACCAGAAGTTATCTACCTTTGCCGTCAGTATAGATCCAGGCTCGCCCGATACCCATGCTATTTAAATACTGAAATCCCTTAAACTTAAAATGGACTGTTCCAAATTTATTGTACTTAGATCCACATATTTATATATACTATCTATGTCACAAAATAATTTTAAGTTTTGGTCTATTGTACTCTTTGGTGAAACTTAGGTCTACAGTTACAAAGAAATTTTCGAAGCTCAAACTCAAATCTCAAGTATATGACTGGTCAGAAACTGGTATATAAACGTACACTGACCAAGACAATCCTAAGATTTGAGGTGTAGCTCTGAAAAAAAGTTTTACAGTCCTCCGGTTTGGTTCTTAGATTATATGAGACATGAATTTAAAAAAAAAATACTTTTTATGCTAAATAACAGAAACTACTTTATTTTCATCCATGTTTCAATTAAATATAAAGTCTGACAAGTTGTTAAAACACTTACGAATCAATTAATAGCCCCAATTTATAATTCTGATAATTTTTACGTAACTTTATCAAAACAGATACAATTAACAGATCAAATACTAACGCATTTCATTTCCATATAAGAAAAAATTAATGATACCTATAGTAAAACCTTGTCATGGGAACAATTCTTTGCTATTTTCTATTACTTTTGTAAATATTAAAAGAAAAATGCATTACTGTACTTATTATGGTTTCAACAATACCATTAACTATTGTCATAGTAACAATTCTTCCCTATTCTCCATTAGTTTTCTAAAGAAAAAAGACGCATTACTCCATTATACTTTTAACAACACTGTACTGTCAACACAGTCAAGGGCAAACAACTCTTCATGCAAACATTTTGCTTTCCATTAACAATACAGGAAAAATGTTCTAGGACAATAGCCTCTGGTACAGTAATTCTGGCCATTTTACATTCTTATTTTTCTAGCTCCACTACCTAAAATACAGTAAAGGGCAAGAACTTTTGAGCAATACTTTTTATCACCTTAGTGCAATAACTGGTTAACTTCTATTAATTTAGAAGGACTTAACCCTTTACTGCACTAAGGTAATGTTATATCAATATGTGCAGAAACAACACTGTGAATATGTGCCTTCAAACACATTAAATTATGTTGCATAAATAAAGAACACGTTCTGCATGATGAAGTGTATATAACAAAATAATTCTCTAAGTAAGCCCATTTTCGTGCTACAAATAGTGTTCAAAATTCCATTTCTGAGAATCTGAGTTATTGCAGTCTCTGACACGAACATAACCGGATGATTTTTCATCTGCTACATCTAGACATCGTCCACTTCCTACATGAACTATTGTACTCTTTTGCTGAAAGAAAATATATAACACAACAATATTATAATAATACACTGGTGTCATATTTTTAGCAGAATGTGGAAGAACTTTTTTTCAGTATTTTATGAAATTGGAGATTTTCATATTTCAAAGTCATATTCTAAATACAAATTTTTGACTTTCTACAACTTGTCCGGGAATATTAAAAATTCAAATTTCAGTTGCCATGACTATGATGACAGATCAATGAATATTTCAGCAATATGAAATGGTGTTATAATATCAGAAGATCAGTTAAAAAAGTTTAACATTTTACATGACATATGTTATATGTTATAATATTCCATGAAAATTTGATAGAAATCAATATAAAAACTTTTTTCTTCACAAACTGAATAAAATGATTTTTTGTAAATGAACTGGAAGTGGCTTGCAGAAAAAAATAAACCTTGCATTGACCAAAATTGTTTACTGTACATCTTTAAAAATTCTGATTGATGTCAGGCCACTTATTTTCTCTCATTGGATATTTTTGTTTTACACAAACAAATACAAAGAATTGTTTGTTAAAATCAGGAAAATACCTGAATTCCTGAGTACATGTAATATACAAACCAGAAACAAGAATAGCACCTTAATATATAAATTAACATTAACATCTATATGACACTCACCTTATCATGTTTAAACTGTTGGTTTTTATCTCCTTCAATGCATTTAGTTAGTGAGATTTTATCTCCATTGTTACCGGCTGTTGACATACACCCATCCTCTCTTCTTAACTCATCCTTTAAACTTAATGAGAACACCTGAAAAATAATTTCAATATAGCAGATGTCTCCCTGTGTGTTTAAAGCATCTTCACAGAGGTACAAAAATCTAAAACACAGAATGTGAAAATCACACATAGATCAACTGGTGTACTTAAAACCGAAAAACATGATAACTATTGTAAAGCTATACACCCAAAACTACATTGAAAATTAATATTTTATGCCATTCTTAGACCTATTTCAAGTGCACCACACTCTGTGAACATGGTGAACATTTGTCTCAAGTAATACTGAAATTCCTTCATATATGTAGCTGATATGCTCTGGATAAAATATGGAGCTACCTTGGTTTTGCACATATGGACCTGGAATATGCTGCAGCACTCAGTCTTATGATGATGTAAAACCCATCAATCCATGATGACTAAATAGTTTGCTCAAACATTTTCATATTGTCACCTGACCTTCTGACCTCTATAATGACCTTCACCTTGGCTAAAGTAACTGAATCTAGCACTCCTCCTCATAATGGTGAACAATAAAGTAAAATCAAAATTCCTCAATGCAAGAAGTTCTGTTGTGGACAAGTATTTTCCCTGACCTCTAAGTATGACTGACCTTTGACCCATACACCTGGTGATGCTACATAATACTTATATCCCTTTATGCGTTTAGAATGTATGATGTTTTAAACAAAAACTCCACATTTCATCATCTCTTGTGACCTTGATCATACACATAATGCTCGGTCACAAAATGAACATTTGTGCTAGAATTATGTTTCAATCCTCCAATTCATGTAGATGTTTTATTCCATACAAGCATTTTCATCTGACCTCTAAGTGTGACATTGACCTTTGACCTTAGTGACTGGTAGATGTACATGAAACTACATCTCATGATGGTGACAACTTACCTCACTAGCACTAGCACCACCTTGACAAGAAAACACACCAATATCAAATACTGTCTTTTCATCTTTACCCAGTGTGTCCAAACACAGGTTACTTCCTGGATTCCGAACCTGTTTAAAAGAAATGGACCTGGTAAAAATATTGTTAGGTATAAGAATAATTCTACCTCAGTTACCATAACAATAAACTAACTCATTGAATTGATATCTCTCACAAAATTATGCAAATCACTTGAATAAAGCTCCTCAGTGCTATTTACCTCACGACAATGACTAATTATATAACGCAAAGCACACAAAACTGATGTCAAGAAAATAGTTCTTACAGTAAAGGATGTTGTTTGAAATATTACTTACTTCAACTTTCTAAGTTCATAAAGGGTCATTAATAAATCAAAATCATACGATAAGCGTGACCTTTAGAGATTGACCTCCAATTATGGTCCCAAAAATATGTTTGAAATTTTAAGTAGATACCAAGAATCATTTTGAAGACTAATGTTGCATGCAAAACTTTAACAAAGATCTTTTTTTTTTAATACACAAAGGGCTACAATCGAGTCAAAATCAAGACAAGAGTTTTGGCCTTGGAATGTGACCTCCAATTATGATCTCATAGACATGTGTGAAGTCACAATCAAATAATAATTAGTGGTTGATTTGACATCAAGTTGTACAATACGTTGCACCTGAAACTTTAACAAAATTAAGAGGCAAATACTTAGTGAATAATATAGGGCAAATATTCTTCCTACAGTCAAGAGCTAAATATTGGATAAAATGAGATCCAGTGGACAAAATGGGTGGACTTACTGAGGTCATCATTTCTTCTTTCTAAAGCAAGGGCTAATAAGGAAAGGATATTGAATTTTCTTTTTAGAAGAAGGTTAAAAACTTACTGAAACATTCCTTTCTACCAATATATAAACTTATCATAACTTATACATTTCTTTGGTACATACCATTCCCCAGGCATGAATATTTTCATCTGGTATAAACTTCTCTGGGTATACATTATCTAGATACCATTTAAAACTATGACATTTTAGTCTCTCCCTCAATGCCTTCCTCTCAGTAAGATCTCCTGGATCTTTATCCTGAAACAAACAGGAGGTAAAAAACAACAATTTAATTTGTTTACTGTTAGTAAGAAATCATATTTCAGTCAAACTTTTACAGGTAGTTACTGATTATATGTTTTTTTCATTCCTTCGCTGTAATTGATAGTTTTTCTGTAAATGAATTACTTTCAAAGGTTGCTCTGGGTATATTATTTTCAAGTAAAATATTAATAGACTTAAAAAGCATGCACTGTACATTACACCAAATACTGCCTATCCAAAATATGAAGAATTAAAGCTAATATCTTTATTGAATAAAATAAAACAGGCTCCAAGAAAGGAATACGTTCATTATTTTAATCTTCTCTTCTATACATTATCATATCTGATCCCAAAAATTGTTTGTTTCTATGGTTTTTTCTATGCTGATTTTAATACATTTGTTCATATCTAAGCAGTCCGCCCATGTAACCATTCACCATTTACCCCACATGATTTCTGAATTACTCAATCAGTGTTGAGAGACAAACGACAATAAGACTGTGTCTATGATCAATTGTCTTAAGATAATTACCCTACATCCTAGAATCAAACCAGCTAACTCTGGATAACAAATCAGATGCCCTCTACTTTGAGCTCTGCAGGCAGACTGGTACCAGAATTTAGATATAAATAATAGACTGGCTTTGATAAAAAATATCTTATACTTGATGGAAAAAGTAAGAAGGATTTTCATGAAAATAAAGAGCAGAAGACCATACAATTATAAAATGATTTACAGTAATATAAAAGGAAACAAGACCCATGTCAACATGGCCATCCCCCGCCGAATATGTTTGCTCATTGGAAGAATGTATATGTAGTGGAGCAGAATAATTCCATTTTAAGAGGTGTTTTGGTAATGAAAACTGATGGCTATAGTGATTAAAGATTTGAAACCTATGTGAATACTGATGGCTGAAAATAACAAAGGGCAATAACTGAAAAATAATGCAGGGTAGGTTATCATTCTTGTGTGCTGCATCCCTCCTCAGTAAAATCTATCCACCTATGAAGTTTCAAGTTGATACCTCAAATACTTTGTGAGAAAAAAATTGAATTGAAAAATTAAGTATGAAAAATAACAAAGGGCAATAACTCAAAAATTATAAAAGGTAGAGTTATCATTCTTGTGCAGTGCACACCTCCTGAGTGAGATCTATGCACCTATGAAGTTTCATTTTGATATCTCAAAGGCTTTTTGAGTTATGCTCTGGACAAAAATTAATTTTGAAAAATAACAAAGGGCAATAACTCAAAAATAATGCAGGGTAGAGTTATCATTCTTAAGCATTGCACTCCTCCTCAATGAGATCCATCCACCTTTGAAGTTTCAAGTTGATACCTCAAATACTTTTTGAGATAAGCTCTGGACAAAATAGCATGAAAAAAAACAAAGGGCAATAACTCAAAAATTGTATAAAGAAGAGTTATCATTCTTGCGCACAACATTCCTCCTCAATAAGATCTATCCACCTATGACATTTCATGTTGATATCTCAAACACTTTTTGTGTTATGCTCCAATCGGGTGAAAAATTAGGTACGAAAAATAACAAAGGGCAATAACTCAAAAATTATGAAAGGTAGAGTTATCATTCTTGTGCACTGCACACCTCCTGAGTGAGATCTATGCACCTATGAAGTTTCATGTTAATATCTCATAGGCTTTTGGAGTTATGCTCTGGACAAAAATCAATTTTGAAAAATAACAAAGGGCAATAACTCAAAAATCATGCAAGGTAGAGTTATCATTCTTGTGCACTGCACTCCTCCTCATTAAGGTCTATCCACCTATGAAGTTTCAAGTTGATAACTCAAATACTTTAAGAGATATGCTCCGGACAAAAATGTCGGACAGAAGGACGGACGGACGGAAGGACGGACGGACGGAGACTATTTCTATATCCTCCGCCGAAAATTTTCGGCGGGGGATAAAAAGAGGTTTAAACAGTATAGCACAGAAAAGGGCGGAGGGACAGGACAGGATAATATAGTTATCATCTCTTACTAATAAGTCTCTCCTGTGTGTATAAAACAATCTCTTATATTCATCCATCCAAACTTCAGCTAAGCGCATGGAGTTTATACCATGTGTGTCTTTATTACCTGGAAAAAAAATGAAACAATAATTTTTAGAAACAGTTAAGACTTTACAATTGTTTATTGATACTGAACCTAAAATAGTGCTAAATTTATTATGATAACATTTTTTCAGTCAAAGGTTGCTACAATGAAAAAACTATTGTTCTTCAACTTTCCTTGTATTATTGTGAATTAAGTCACAGAGGTTCACAGTCACATTCTAGTCATTTCACAACTGGACTATCAGGATAACTAATAACAGATATCTTTATTTCAAATCACAATACATTTATATCAGGAAAAAACAAATATCTTTATAAACTAACAGCAGCTGAGTCCATAAATTATATAAAAGTCATTATTATCCAATGAAAAGCGACATTAAAAACATGCAGTATTACAGAAGTCTATAAAGTTACCTGGGAATGTATAAGGATGACTGGAGCGGAATATATGACCCACTCTAGAACATGGTATAAACTCTAGCTTCCCACCACACATCCATACCTGAAATATCATAAAATGCCATAGATACTTATAGAATATAATATATATTTTCAGCAAGTCTGTCAGTTTGATGGTGACCTCAAAATGATATACATTCTTATATAATAATTATATATATACATGCAAATGTATATAATAAACAAGCATAATAATTTTTGTTATTGAATTTAAAGTCATGCCAAACATTGTTAAGTATATGAAAACTTTAAAGTTAAATTCAGGGTAAACAAATTTAGTTATATTGGTGGACACAAACCACTACAGTTACTACCTCACTGACTATTTTTTCAGTTTTGTTTGTTTTAGGTTTTACATCACATCAACACAGTATAGGTCATATTGCGATTTCCAGTAAACCAGTTTTACTGGTGGAGGAAGACCTCAGGTGCCCTTCCATGCATTATTTCAGGCACAAACAGGCACCTGAGTAGAACCACCGACTTTCCGTAAGCTAGCTGGATAGCATCCTGACATGAAAGAATACAAAGTTCCTGTTGGGATTGAACCAACAGCGGTGAGGGGCAAGTTATTTGAAGTCAACCACCTTAACCACTCGACCACGGACATATTTTTTCAGGCACAGGGAAATACCTGGAGGGTCCACCAACATGATAACCGAATATTCATGATTTTAAAAACTCATTTCTTATGGAGATTTCAGATTATCTTGGCCTCATATATATACTCACCCTGAATGAGATTTCAAGATTTTCACCGCCCCACACATCCATACCGTCATCATAAGCACCAATTTCAAAAAAATATTTACGGTCTGCTGCAAACAATCCACCAGCCATTGTTGGAGATCTGACGACAAAAAAAAACTGTAATTTATATTCATATATACATTTGTTGAAAACATTAGATTAAATATACATTTAAATCCTTTCCATTAGCAAATTCAAAAGATCAGTGTCTGAAATTAATGACTACATTGAATGGTCTAATTAATAAAGCTTTATGATACATTTAAACAAAGCATATTAAGGTTTTTAAATGTTTATTATTATTTATTATTATACTTCAATTAAATCTTATTGAACTAATCATAAATAAAATCAAAATATGAAACAAGTTATATCACACCATAAAATAGAATTTATTTACTAAAATAAGATCATTATACTTGTATAAATTATACGAAGACCTCATAGCTATAATAGCATTTCTAATAATATCATTAATAGCCAATAGACAACATTAAAGCCGCATGATTCCAGATGCATGCCAATTTTTATTAAAATTTACAAAGTCGTCAAAATGTAGTATACAAAAAGATGATTTTAAAAGCTAGTCAAAGACACATACTATCAAAATAGCACAAGAATAGCCCTTTTATAACACAGTTGAATGATTGTAATAAATAAAACAAGAGCTGTCACAGGAGACAGCAAAGCTCGACTAATAAAATACTGGATGCAGTAAGGAGGACAAAACTATGAAGAAAAATCAATTATGTATAA